GAAGGGAAAAAGGATTGGTCCTCAGGTAACCTCACTCACACGAAACACAAAGGACACAACCTAGTGGTTGTTTTACGTCGGTTTTCTGTGAGGACGTGGAATCACTCCGGTCAAACCAGCCCATTCGTGTGGAAGCGGCTCTCTTACACTTTATTTAGTTTTTCTTTGACTTACTACAACTTAGCTGATGGAGCCTATTAACCTACACACATCACATCGTCATTTGCCTATAAATTAATTGCCCACTACTTACTGAACAAAGGTTTCTTCTCACACGGAGAAGGTCCGAGCATCAATCACCACGCTTGCTCACCGATTGGCGAATTTTAACTTTATATTTATTTATTTATTTTAATAGGCACACAAAACAGGATACAGTCAATAACATTACAGAGTAGGTATCTATAAAATAAGTAAAACAGATCAAGACCGCATCCCTACACATGTGTACACTGCATGATTATTAGGCAATTATATTATGCAGGAAGTGTTATAATATAAAATATTTAATAACTTAATTAAATTAATTGATACTTGAATTAGATTGATTAATTAATTGAATATTGTAATATTGAGTTATTCATTAACTAAATATAATTCATTATAAATACTATTATAAATTTAATTAGAAGAATAAAAATTACAATTAGAATTTCAATTTTGACATAATTCGACCTATTTTATATTTGAATTTAAAAAATCTATGATCAAATATATCTAATTCTTTGCTATGTTCGTGAAGTAGCTCGTTGTAAAGACGACACATTCTTACAATAGGGTTGTAGTAAGATGTATTATTTATATGAACATCTAATATGAAACTCCTGAAGTGAGGTTGGCGACTTCTAAATTTAATATTAAAATTAATTGAAGATAACAAGTCAGGGCTGTCCACTGATGAATGAAGAATCTTGTGCAGGTACAAAATGTCACTCCGTTTACGGCATACCTCTAGTGATTGCAGATTGAACTCGTCCAGTCTTTCCTTGTATGATGTTAGCTGTCTATGAACTCCCATTTTACGGCACACTATGTGAATAAATTTCTTTTGGATGCGTTCCAAATTATTTATGTGAACTGCATAGAATGGCGACCAAATAATTGAGTTATATTCTAATATACTACGAATCAAAGTAAAATAAAGATAGAATAAGCTTTGCGGCTTACTAAAGTCCTTGGTAACTCTGCAGATGAATCCGATTAGACGTGTGCTTCTATTAATTATATGGTCAAAATGTGCATGAAATGTAAGCTTCTCGTCAAAGAGGATTCCTAAATCTTTAGCCACATGTTTACGTTTATTATATGCAAAGTAGGTATAAGTTTCTGCGTAATTATTAACTTCACCGTTTGTCAGCCAGAAGTGTCTAAATAAACACAGAAGATACATAGGTATATATAACTAGGATAAAGTCACGTTGGCATTGCCAATGGCAGGTAGATACTGGCACACAGAGTGTGGAAACACAGTTATCTACCTAATTAAATAAAGTGTAAGAACTTGTAATAATGTGTTGCGTTAATATTAAATTTGTAATATGTTCAATGAGTTGATAAAAATCCCCTTCAGCAAGTAGGTAAGGTATATTTACAAGATATCTAGGTCATTCGGTGGATGAGCAAAAGATACATACACATCACAATCTAAGTGACAGTGACAGTGAGTTTAAGTGTGGGAGAGCCAAGCTTCGGCACGAATGGGTCGGATCGACCGGAGTGATACACCACGGCCTCACAGAATACCGGCGTGAAACAACCACAGCGTTGTGTTTCGCCGTGTGAGTGAGGTTACCAATCCCTCCCCTTCCCCTATCCCTTCCCAATCCTTATATCCGCAACCCCTATCCCCAAAAGGCCGGCAACGCACTCGTAACTCCTTTGGTGTTACGGGTGTCCATGGGCGGCGCCGATTGCTTACCACACACACACACACACACACACACACACACACACACACACACACACACACACACACACACACACACACACACACACACACACAAACACACACACACACACACACACACACACACACACACACACACACACACACACACACACACACACACAAATACACGCACGCACACATACATTAAGATAAGTATTAATAAGTTTAATAAGTAAGAATACAACATGTGTACTTCAATTTTAGTAATAAGCATAGATGTAATACAAAACTAGATAATATGTACTGTATAATAAACCTCTCCAAATTCTTTATGCTGTGCCCTAACGGGTCCATATTGTTTTTAATATATTGTGTCAACTTTATAAAATATCACCTGTATAACATATGGAATGCAAATAAAGAATCGAATTGAATTGAATTGAATCAAGTAATCTGTCTGCTCGTTTGCCGACTTATACCATAAAAAAGTGTGGGACACTTAGTATTGTTTTACTTATAGTAAAATAGTATTCTTTACATTTTGCCAGATTCTCCGTAAAAAACCAATACCTACCGTGGGCCGGTGGGCCTGCAAGGGGCAACCCATGATGTTAAAAGCAGTGTCTAAATTTGCACAGTAATACCACTTACGGTATGAGGTACGTTGGTATACCAGCTGGTTTCTTCTACAACACTCGGTGCTACACGTGCCAATTCTCCTAGTTAACGTGACCTAGTTTATTTATTTTTGATTTGTTTAAGAGTCTCCTTACAACTTGACCTTACATATAATAGGTATATAGGTACAATGGCTAATTGACTAGTTTTGTATACTTGTTATGACGGTTTAAATTATTATTATTATTTTCTTTCTTTTGACATCAATTAATTTAGTGATAAATGTTTTTGACTAAAATTTGTTTAATATGACGTTAATGATGCAATAATTATGACAAATACCAATTGATATTTATACTTAATTTATTTTTATGTTACTTGAATGATTTTATTTTGTTTTCTTTTGATATGTAATTGAATATTTTAAAGATTGTACACCCCATGGGTATGTTACAGTGATACTTTGTTATAATACTTAAGAGCTGAATTTCCACCTGTGACAAACAATAAATAAATCTTGAAATCTTGAAATGGTCACTGGTTAACGTTCGATTTTCATTTTTATATCAAGTGTGATAGAGTGTGACTGAAATGATACCTCGGCTTAACAGAGAACCGGCGGCGTGAACCAACCACAGCGTTGTGTTTAGCTGTATGACTAAATTTAATGTAGGTCACAATACTTTCGCTATTTGCTACCCTGATTCCATAAAACCCCGGTTCGTAATTCCATAAAAGGCGGGAAAAATTACACCTGCAAATGCAAAATAGCTAGTAAATTGAAAATTGAATAAAGAAATTTGAAGAAAACCAAAATATTTTGGTCTGCTGCATTCAGCTTTGTATGTACCTGCTACTGCAACTTTCAAGGAATAAATGATGTCGCTTTATGTTTAATTACTTATTCACTAATTATCAGTAAAAGTAATTACGAAACGAACTGTTTGATCTCTTTTATCTCATTGCAAGATACTGAACGACCTTTGTGATAATATTGTTGGGGGAATACCGTCTTCCTAACGTAATAAGGAGCATTGGGTACATTGGTTAGAAGACGTAAAAATGAGATATTAAGGATATATCATGGGTTGTATAAAAAAAAACTAATATCATTAAACATCACACATGGGAGAGCCATGCTTCAGCACGAATGAGTCGGCTCGACCGGAGTGATACCACGGCCTCACAGAAAACCGGCGTGAAACAACCACAGCGTTGTGTTTCGCCGTGTGAGTGAGGTTACCGGAGGCCCAATCCTTCCCCTCCCCGGACCCTTCCCCAATCCCTAAATCTCCAATTCCCTAAAAGGTCGGCAACGCTCTCGTTACTCCTTCGTTGCGGGTGTCCATGGGCGGCGCTGATTGCTTACCATCAGGTTATCCGTCTGCTCGTTTGCCGACTTATTACATAAAAAAGAACAATATCTAATTGCTAACAAAAAAATCTAAGTGTAAATGGACCGATTTTTCTTAGCAGATGGGGATTTAGCTCACTAATGGTGTAACCATTAGACGTTAATTTTTTACCGCTAGGTATTTTCGATTTGATAGGGCGGCAAATAAGCAGACAGATTACTTGATTATAAGTCATTAATGCCACCCATATACATTTCCAACACCACAGGAGTTACGAGTTTGTCGCCGTCTTTTTGGGGATTATTTATATATAGATTGAAAAAGCCCTTTTAATAAAATAAAGATTAATATATATATATATATATAGATTGAGAGGCATATAGATTGAGGGAATGAGGAGGAATGGGGGGACCAACTCCGACGCAAAAACACAACGCTGACGTCATTTCACGCAGGTTTTCTGAGAGGCCGTGGTATCATTCCGGTCGAACCGATGTATTCGTACCGAAGACTGACTCTTCCACACTTGAAATAAAGATGAAACAAACTGGCCATTGCTAGATTATCTTTTCTAGATTTAGCTGGATTCTGGTAAGCAATAAATACAATTTAAAGTGCTTTGGTTTCTCAGAAGTTCTTCTAAATCTTTTAGCAGTGCCCTCCGTATTAAAACACGGTACAAATCATGTAGTTGTCGTAGTGGCCCAGAGGTTTAAGGTCCCGTTTCTCAAGCATAAGGGGTGCGGGTTCGAAACATAGCAAGTACCAATATGACTTTCCGAGTTATATGTACTTTCTATGATTATGTAGACACCACTGACATACGGTGTAGGAAAGCATCGTGAGGAAACCTGGACTTAGGTATAACTTCTAATTATAAGTTTGAAATCAAGCCTTGAGCAAGCCTGGCGATTAATGCTCAAACCTCCTCCGTATGAGAAGGGCCCTTGCTCAGCAATGGGCACTAGCGTGAAGATGATGATGACAAATCATGTATGCCTACATATGTACAGGTAAGTAATATATTGTAAGATTATACTTTGCATACATATTCATAAAGTTAAATGTTTTACCCATTGTATCGGGGATTTACAACCACATTTACTTACGTCACAAAGAAATAAAACCACAACAATTGAGTCATTCTTTGCTTATATTTACAATGAACAATAAAACTTAATAGTTAACATTTTATATCACTTGATATTTATTATATTAATGTAATTAGTTAATTGATATTTGTCTTAATGGAGGTGATTGGGAAGGTTAGGAGGCCGGGCGGTGGTTCCGGCGGGAGAAAGTTTGGTAACGACACGTTGGGATCTGTGGACAAAGAAATAATATGGTTAATATTTTACGTTTTCAATCTTTTCATATTATAGGGATTCCATAGAAAACATTTTCTCAGCCAGGCTTGAATCTCAGTGAAAAAGAATTTTTGAAAGATAGTTGGTCGGAAACCTATACCAAGCTTGGAGACAAAGAAAAAACGTTAGTATTTTTTTGCATATACTTTTGCTTGGAAAAATGAATCTACAATTGTCTATGCATGACAACTTTTGCAAATTACAATGAACTTAATTAATAACTAAGGAATAAGCAACATGCTTATATTTATTGAAAAATGTTTATCATAACTATTTTTTTTTTAAGGGAAACAATCATCACAAATATCAGCCTGCTCATTGTTTTCCAACCCTAGCTGAATATCAGCCCTAGTGAGCTCCGTCTGTGGTGGTCTATTGGTTCTTTGAGGTACGTGCGGAACGCAACGCGCCGTAAGCTCGAGTTGCGTTTTGGACGGCGAGCAAGGGTAGCTCGCCGTCTGCAGACCAGCGAACTTAATGACAGAATACATGCCACTCTCATTTTTGCATGTGTAATTATTTATATCGAAATCCTATTTCATTGTAATACTTTTTGTATGAACACTACCTCCATATTAGCTGGCAGCATAGAAATAGCTATGGAATTGTAAAAAATGAAACAGAAAACAATTGAATAGATAGAACATATAAAACAATCGATTAAAAGAGCCGAGTCCGACACGTACGAGTTTATTAACTATAGCATGGACCTCAATTCGACTGGTAGAAAATTGCCTAAGTATAGAATTAAGTCCGCTTGTACATATTTTAATATATAATTAAGTTAAACCAAACTCACCTAATTTCGAAGGCAGAGGGAATGGTGTTGACATCATGGGCTTGACGCCAGGTTGCTGTAACATCTGTGGAGGTTGCTGCAGTAGCTGGGGGGGTTGTTGTAACATTTGTGGCGGTTGTTGCAACAGGGGAGGTTGCGGCAACATGTTCGGGGGCTGTTGCATCATATTTGGAGGTTGTTGCATCATGTTTGGTGGTTGTTGCAACATACCAGGCGGTTGTTGCAACATGTTTGGAGGTTGTTGCAACATATTAGGTGGTTGTTGCATCATGTTTGTCGCTTGATGCATCATATTCTGTTGCTGCAACATGGGTGCTTGAGCCATCATTTGCATAGCTAGTCGAATGTTAGGTGGCGGGGATCCAGGAGGCGGCGGTGGTGGCGGCAGAGCGTCCCATAGCGGCACATGATCGTTGTGGGTCGCCGGGCAGGGCCAAGCGCAGCCGTAGCGACGTGACTTTTTCTTCTGCAACGAAAATAAAGTTGTATTATTAATGATCGCCGAAACCTTAATTCTTAAAAGAAGAAATTGAAACATAAGTATGTAGTATGTATTTATTTATATTAGTGTTCTATATTTATTTATACATAATTTGTATGTATTATTAGTGTTTGTTATTGTATTTGTTTAAACTTATACATTATTGTATTGAGTCTTTGTTTTTGTCTTTATTCTTTAAAAGTTTTGCTGCTTGCGCTCACCGTTTTTACTCATCTCTGCATCACCCAAAGGTCAGACTGGTAGATAATGCCTACGGCATTAAGTCCGCCTATGTACAGAACTTTGTGTGCATAAAGCTTAATAAATGAATAAATAAAAGGCCGGCAACGCATTCGTAACTGCTTAGGTGTTGGGTAGAATAGGCGGCGACGATTGCTTACCATCAGGTAATCCGTCTGCTCGTTTGCGACCACTACGGAATGAACTTGCACGGTTCTCATACATTATATTATTTTTCACATTGTCTAGACTTAAAAAAAGACGGACCTCTGAGTTTGTTTCGGCATTTCTTCTCAGAGTAGTCAGATAGGAAATGCCGCTTCATCTAGTTTTTTACATATAATTTTGAAGTGTGTAAAAGTGCTGTTTATGGTCTATTTACAAAAAAAAATTCATTGTTTCATTGAATATATAGAAGCATTTCTTTCAATGATCCAAATGAAATTGTGTTTTGCAGTAACTTATATGACTGAAATTCTTTGAATTAAAGAATATCATGATGGAGGGGATGAAAGGATTAACTGACCTTCTTAACAGGGGGTTCTTCGACATCCGAGTCCTGACCAGGCTTGTACCCGTCCGCGAAGCTCACACGTTTAGCCCCACGACTCTCCGGTACCGCTTTTCTATAATATATCACATACAGGGTGTAAAAAGACACTTAACGAAGCCGTTAACTACGCATACTGCAGTTCTAAGTAGCTTTACGCTAAAATTATCACCGGGAAACGATTTTTATTTTTAGGTATCAAAAAGAATAATTATTTTATTGCGCGCAATGTAAAGCAAACGGGCTTCGTGTCATTGTGTGCGTAGGTTCACAGCTTAGCATTAAAACGCTGTGATAAGTACGTAGGTCGACGTTTTACTTCGCAACAACAAAACAATTCTGTAAAATAAAAATTATCCTATTGAGATGCACGATGTTTTTTGTGCGGGTCTGCATTTATTTATTACGTACATTACTGTTCGTAACTTCAAATGCGTAATTTATTAAGAAAAATCGAATATTCAGGTAATGTTTGTTTGGAAAAAAGTTTTGTATTAATACTTAGAATTCGATTGTGCAAAAAATATTAATTTATTTATGCATCTTTGACCTTCAATATCTCGAGAACCCGTGGAGTCCCAGCTATGGTCTTAAAGAAAATAATGATCCAAATAATGGGTAGAATACGTGGCTTTCGGCTTCGTTAAGTGTCTTTTTACACCCTGTATATTACGTCATAGCCAAGTACCTTAATAAGTATATGAATGATTTATAGGCGGACTGGACTTACACTGTCCATAATTGGGTTGTTTCCTATGTCAAAAATAAATTAATTCGACGTTTCAATACAATAAAATACTGAAAAATAACTATACTTTTATTTATCGATCAATCGATAAACTAAATTTTAGATATCTTTCAGCAATTTTTAAGAAATAAGTAAGCTATTTGACTCTAAAATACTATGACGTCATAACTCAGTGTTTCATACAAAATTTCGTAGAAAAGTATAGTTTTTGATATTTGGTTAAAAGTATTGAATTTGACTAGTTGGACACTACCGTATTGTGGTGTTTACTTTAACAAATTTGTAATTAAAACTCACGTGACTAAGATTCCTTTCTCCGGGCCGTCCTTATCTCCATCCGTTTCATCAGCATCCTTAGCTACTTCGCCGAGAACTGTAAACAAAAGAGAGATCACCTAACATTGTCGACTTTAACAGTTGGTTTGCTTCGACATGAATGGGTCGGCTCGACCGGAGTGATACCACAGCCTTGCAGAAAACCGGCGTGAAACAACCACAGCATTTTGTGTCCAACGGAGACCCAATCCCTTTCCTTACCTTCCCATTCTTTAAATATCCGCAACCCTTATTCCCAAAAGGCAAGGCACTCGTAACTCTTTTTGTGGTGCGGATGTCCACGGGCGACGCCGATTGCTTACCGTCAGGTAATACGTCAGCTCGTTTGCGACAAATGCCATAAAAATAATGAATAGAATTTGATTAATTGTTAAGTACCAATTTCTTTATTGTGTGTATTAATGTTATAAAAAAATACATTACTACTGTAGCCTAACTAACCTGTAGTTCTTAAAGCTTGATCTATCCTATCATCCAGACTGCTCTTGTGTTTCGGTTCCTTGCTCTCTTCCGCAGGTTGAGGTTCGACATCCGTGTTGAAACAATCGCCGTACTGCAGCCGGTCGGACGCACCGTACATGTCTTCGTATGCTTCATCGTAGCTCCTATACAATATTGAAAATAATAATAATTATAGATCAATATAATAAATACATATACAATATTTATGATACTGTTGAGATTAGTATCACTAAAATTGAGGTATGAAACAACGTGAAACAACCACAGCGTTGTTTTTCGCCGTGTGAGTGAGGTTACTGGACGCCCAATCCCTACCTCTCCGCTATCCCTTCCAAAGCTTAAATATCCGCAACCCTTATCCCCAAAAGGCCGGCAAAGAACTCGTGTTTCCTTTGGTGTTGCGGATGTTCATGGGTGGCGCCGATTGCCTTTCATCAGGTAATCAGTCTGCTGTTTTGCAGACTTACCACTATACGTAAAAAAATAAAACTTACATTTTTAATATTGTAATATCTCGAAAAAGTTTTAAGCGCATATGAAGTCTATAACTATAAGTGCCTAATGCTGAGCAAAGGCTTATTCTCACACAGAAAAGATTTGAGCATTATTCACCACACTTACTCGAGGTGGATTAACGATTTAAAACTTATGATTCATCATCATCATCATCATATCAGCCACAGGACGTCCACTGCTGAACATAGGCCTCCCCCATTGACTTCCAGATAGGCCGGTTGGAAGCGACCTGCATCCAGCGGCTTCCTGCGACCTTAATCAGGTCGTCTGTCCACCTTGCGAGTGGACAGACTTAAGACTTACTTACTTAAGACTTTAGAAATTATAATCCCAGGTTTCCTTGCGATGTTTTCCTACACCGTATGTCAGTAGTGTCTAAATAAACATAGAAAGCACATTCATATAACTCGGAAAAAGTCAAATTGGTACCTGCCAGGTTTCTAACACACACAATTATGCATTAGAAGCGAGCGTTGTGACCTTAGGGCCACCACGACAAACAGAACGGAGTCGCTGTAAACTAATTAATACCTATTATGTAAAAAAAATCTCACCCTGAGCTGTTATTCTCGCTTCTATTAGCAATAGTTTGGATTTGGTAGACCGGCTCCTCGTTCCGTGGCGTGTAGTCGTCCCCACCAGTCAACACTATGTTCACCTGGCCTGGTTTTAGACCTGCAAACAAACAGAATATGAGTCCCGGTACGACTTGAAACTCGTAGAGCGTTTCTCGATTATTTTCAAAATCATATTATGTTTCAGTTAATTTTGTATGGTTCATTATACATAAAATTCAGACAAAAATTGAAGTCAAAAGTCCATGCTATTGTTGGGGGGACAGTCATCATAATTACACACGTATTCTAATAACTGCTAAACATACAGTCAGACATGAGTATTTGTATAAATGTGAAAGTTTTTTCTTAAAAAAGAGATTTAAATTGGGTAGTTTCCTACAAATTTCAAAAATAAATTATCTCAACTTATAGAACCATAAAATACCCAAAAACAATAACACCTGCATTCATTAACTTTACAATATACGTACTTAATTATCATATTTTTTAAGATATTCGAAGTGACTTTTGACCTTAGAAATAATTAGGTCATAACATGCTACTTAAAAAAACATTGTGTATTACAGTATTGATGTTGACTAGTTGGAAACTACCCTATCCTGTTGTGAGAAAAACTTCTAGGACTACAATATATACGCACCCCATCTAGAAGGTCGTTGGTTGTTGGTCGGTACTGGGGTACTAGGCTCGTCTCCTGCGCGCCAGTCGCACTTGATTTCACCTCGAGATCGCGCCCGTACCACTGTCTCTATGCGTTGCGATGCGAAGAATGGGTCGGTCTCCGTTGAGGGGGCAGACTGGAGGAGGACAAACCAAAAAGATATATTTCAAGAGTTTTTAAATAAAAATATTCTCGTTTTATGTTATAGGCCGGGAAACGAGCACACGGATTACCGGGAAGCAATCGGCGCCGCTCATGGACAGCCGCAAACCAGAGGAGTTACGAGAGCGTTAATTAACTTTTGGGGATTAGTGTTTTGGAGATTTAGAGATTGGAGAGGGATGGTGGGAGAGGAAGCCTCCGGGAACCTTGCTCAAACAAAACAAAAGAGGCGTGATTTTATTTTAAAATTTCTTGCACGCAAAACAGTGAAGGCGATTTAATTTGTCCACCTACACTTATATAACAGCTTATATAGATTTAAACGTATATATGTTAATTTTTAGGTAGGTATATAGGTTTCCTGCATCTCATCAACATACCTGCTTGGCGACATCGCTTTGGTACGCCATGGCGAGCTGTTCATACATTTCATAGTTCCCCTGTTCATACTCCTGGAATTTATCCTCTTCATCCTTTTGGTATTGTTGACTGGCATTGATGACGTCATTGAAACTGTAATTGGAGTTCTGTGACGAGGGTCGCAAGTGGCTATCGTCTTTTTCATATGGAACATCTTTACTGGTCGTGGATTCTTGGGAAGATTGGGATAGATTCGACTCTTCTAGAATTGGTGGTTCAGGTTGTGGTTGCACGACGGCTTCCTGACTTTCTTGAGACTCCTGTTTAACAATTATTATATAATAGGACTTAAATAAAAATAATTACCAATATAAATATTTTTGATATGCTTAATCATTTAACTTCAAATAGTGATATTATCACCTAAAGATAGTAAGCATATGTCATTTTTATTATGAAATACGTACTTTATCTGTAGGCGATGTTGAAGTGTCAGGTTTAGTAGGATCGTACAAATCTGTCGGGGTGCTAGGTTCGATTACCTCCTGAGGAATGATTATGATTTTATTAGTAATGGTTGGGTTGTTAGTAATGAATGATGTCTTAATAAAGTGTTAGTCAAAAACCACAATTTTAATATCGTCACACCCTTTACCTCCTTATAAGTAAGTAGAGGTGTATATGATACACTAGCTTCCTCCTGCGGCTTCGCTCGCGTGGTAAGTTGATAAAAAGTCTATGTGTTATCCAGGATATCATTTAGTTACATATCAAACTTCAACCAAATCGGTCCAGCCGTTTTAGCGTGAAAGAATAACAAACATACAACCATACATACTGATAAACTTTCACATTTATTATATTAGTACGATGATGTAAAGAGTCAAAAACCATATACCAGAAGTTATAGACAGCATGCCAATACTGAGAAAATTGAGAGTTGAATCGAAAAAAAAAACAACAACACTTTGGACGACCCGAGAATCGAGCTCGACCCGCTCGGCACTTACCCCCACCTAACTAACGAGGCAGTGCAAAACCACACCACATCACACATCATTTACAAAATCGTAATATCCGACTCTGGGATTAAATCTATTGATGTATATTAACAAAATATGTTAAGTATTAAAGTATATTATGTACATGAAAATGGCCACGATGGAATGAAAACAATGATAATGACCGAAACCAAGTAATGTTACAAGTTAAAAAAATACAAACAAAAAGCATGCATAAGCTAAAATAAATTTAAGTTATTGAACATCCTTTAAAATATTAAAATAACTTGAAAGAGAAGACTTGACAAATAATAATAAGTCTTTTCCTATGAAATTGCCGTTCTGCAGTACTGGCCATTTCAAATCAAAATAGTTTTTGTTAGGCTAAATAATTAATTTTGTTTTAAAAACATGGGATTCTTTTTCCAAAACTAGTCATTTGTTTATTGATTAGTGTTACATTTTCATCGCATTTCAAATCAAAAAATTCGTTTAAATTTTTTCATGCAAAACGTCAATTTCATAGGTAAAAACCTATTATAATAAGCTAAAAAGAAACAAAGTAAAGAAAATCATAACATCGACCTAAGGAAAAAATATTAAGAAAAAAATAATAAGGGATGATGACTAAAAAATAAAAATTAGTCCATCTTTTAGAACGATAGAAAATTTCTTTTGCATCTAAAACTTGAAATAACAAAGTTACAGAGCGGCGAAAGTTCGCGCTACGTCATTATTTCGTATTTTTTTTACGAAAGAGTGACGTCACGAGCCCCTACTCCTGAATTGGAATGTGCTGTATCTTTGTCAATATTATTCGTATGGACAAATAAAAAAATACGCGTCGAGTATTTTTCTATAATCTAACTGACGGACTAATTAGAATCTTGTTTTAACCCAGGAGACATCCCTATTATAATAATTTTGAAACCCATATCATTCTATAATAGTGATTAAAAAATACATACTTCATGTGTAGATATTGTCGTGTCGGTGTGTTTGTCAGCAATCTGTTTTGTGTCTTTTTTCTCTGTCTGTTTTGGCGCGGGCAACGGGATCTCCTAAACATATATACTTATTCCTATTACCTATTTAACATTTAATTATCATTATATATACATAAATGCAATTTTTTATATAATAACTATTATGAAGCTTGCTCTAGGACTAATTTAACTACTCTTACCATAAAAAATCATTTTGGTAATATTTGAATTTTCGCGGATAGCAACACAAAGTTCTTAAAAGATATTTTTAACGCCATCTATTGTTATGAAAGAGAACTATATGTTATGACAATAATCGCTTATGTGAATTATATTCCATGAGAATGCAAAAAACAAATAGTTTCAATTTCTAAATGTGATAATTTCCTAATGATATTATCATTAAGTTTTTTATGTCCCAAAGACGACGATTTCAATTTGAGTATTCGGCTAAGTCAAAAATAATTTGTTATCAATTTTAATTACAAAAAATTCAATTATTATTAATATGTTAAGGAATAATCACATATGTTTTATTAATGTTACTATATACTCGTATTTTTCTAGCAAACTTTCAAAAAACAAGTACGCTATTTGCAATATACGCGTAAAAAAAACAAAAACCGGTACAAAATTTATAGAAAAAAACAGTTCATTTTAACAATTCAAAATAAAACTATTGAATTAGACTACCTTGCCCAATTCCCAACAACGAAAACCAAGAAAATCTACCAATTGAATAAAAAAACAAGGACAGTTAATGACAATGACTTGTGAGATGGATGATAAACAAATAAAATCCACCAAGAAGGTACAACACACAACGACTTACTCACGTAAAAATTAACTAAGTAAAGCTCGACTACTTTCAAGTCACAACGGGGCTCTTAATCTTATTCATTCGCACTCGAGCGCCTATCAAACGCGCGCGCTCGCTTCTCACGGTTATATCAATTGATTTACGTGAAAAAGTCGTTTTCAATTAATATGAACCACATAATATAGTTAAATTAAAAAAAAAACACTTCTTAAAGAAGCTACTTCTGAACCCACAATTTCTATAAATGATAAAATTTAAACTAACCTGGAAAGAGATCTCTTCTTTAATTTCATGTACTTCAGTGACCTCGGGTACAACGGGTTCGACAACCGGCTCAGACTCCGTCGCAAACTCTTTCTCCTCCAATTCCATGTCCGCCATTTTGACTGCCTCCTGTCTACTCGTTTCATCTACTTCTTTTTTAATATGTATATTATTACCTACAAAATCATTTTGTAGTTCTTTCACGTTGATTATTTCTCTAGGTTTCTGTCTTCTCGGGGAAAAGACTAGAGATTGTTTTTTCTCATCATCCGTCAGTCTTTCCGTTTTGATATTATTGAGTATATTGACATCAAATAATTCTTCGCTCTGTGTGGACTCCGAAGAAGACTTTTTCCGTTTCTTCTTTTTCATTTCTGCGTTCTTCTTTTTCTTTTTCTTCTTTTCCGCTTCGGAGTCGGTGTCCGATGAGCTACTGGATGTCGTAGAGGATGATGATGAACTGCTCGAAGATTTTGCTTTCGCTTTTTTCTTCTTTTTTTGAGCTTTCTTTTTCTTTTGTAGCTTTTTCTTTCGCAGTTTCTTTTCTTTCTTTTTGTTTTCTGTGGAAAGATTGGGGTAGTTTAAGAATGTTTTATGCCGTATATACAAAAGATAGCTAATAAAACATCAGATACTAGAAAGTATTAAAAAAATGTAGATCAAGTGTGGGAGAGCCATGCTTCGGCACGAATGGGTCCGCTCGACCGGAGTAATACCACGGCCTCACAGAAAACCGGCATGAAACAACCACAGCGTTGTGTTTCACCGTGTGAGTGAGGTTACCGGAGGCCCAATCCTTCCCCTCCCCATAGCCGTCCTCAATCCCTAAATCTCCAAATCCCTAATCCCTAAAAGGTCGGCAACGCACTCGTAACTCCTCCGTTGCGGGTGTCCATGGGCGGCGCTGATTGCTTACCATCAGGTAATCCGTCTGCTCGTTTGAAGACCCATTACTTACATAAAAAAAACTCTGTACACTATAGGCGCATTCAAGACATTTGATTTATAAACTTTACTGCATAAAACTTTGTGACGTAAATTTGCATTAACATGACTAAAGTTAACATCGTTTTCTTTATGGGCTAGGTGAATACACGTATAACCTGATGGCAAGCAATCAGCGCCACCAATAAATATGTGTAGTCACAAGTACGTTGCCAGTTTTTGAGAGGAAGTTCTAAGATTTACCTTTTTCCTCATCTTCATCTTCTGACTCGTTCTTCTTCTTTCTTTTTTGTTTCTCTTTCAACTTCTTTAAATATTTCTTGCTTAACCGACGGCGTTTGGCTAATTTAAGTTTGGCTTTTGAGCTGTCCTGAAAGTTTTAAAAATCATTTTAGCCTGTGTGTGGTGTCTGGTGGGCTACTGCCCGACAGTTGCTGTCGGGAATTTTTCTTCCTGTTCTAATTGCACCAAGAACTGTTAAACCGCGATATAGAAAAGAAACTGATAAGATTTAGTGCCGTTGCTGCGTGTTGTACGGTAGATGTCACTAGACTCTGTTTCGGTATTTGTTTTCCTATTTATATTTGTTGTGTTGTGCACATGTTGTCACATAATCAGACCAACTTAATAATGTACCAAAGTATCTGTATGTGAAACTGATTTAAAAAGAGTAACCATGGGATTTTTTGCATGTTCTTCTCCATTGGAATCTTCACTTTCTAACGAGCAAATAGCTTCACTAAAAGAACTGACTGACAGGCTGACACTATATATTTATAAAATTCTATTTTATATTTATCACTGTTCTGCATGAATAAGATATGAATGAATAAAATACCTTTTGTTTCCTTTTCGAGGATTTCTTTTTCTTCTTGGAACCCTCATCGCTATCCGATAATGAAGATGAATGCTTTCTCTTTCTTATTTTCTTTTCATTGATCTTTTTGCTGCTGAAGAAACATTATAATTCAATAAGCTTTTGTTATCGACTTCGCCCATGACCAGGGTAAAAAACAATCTTTGTGTTATACCAGAATATAATCTACAGGGTGATATTTTGAACGAGGGACATATCCGAAGAGCCGATTTAAGTACTAATGCTATGGGACTAATATCTTAATTAAATTAACAAATGTATTTGTGAGACATTCAAGAATACATTTGTTTCAAATCTGCGAAGTAAAAAAAAAGTCTGCGCAATGGATCTTTTAGGAACAAAATTGTGTACTGCGCAGCTAATCGGCTAACTTCAGACTCGCCAAGATACGTCGGCGGTTAAAATTACATACAATTAATTTGTATACTTTAACTCCTTACCCTCCCTCAATCTCTTAATATCCAAATCGCTAATCCCCAAAACGTCGACAACGCACGCATAACTCCTCGGTTGTTCCGGGTGTTCATGGGTGGTTGACACTGATTGCTTACCATGAGGTAAAAAATACTCCTAAAACATGTGAGGTAATATTACCTCTTTTCCATTTCCTCTTCAATATCAGACTCCTGACTCCATCCTTCACTGCTCAACTTCATCTTCTTAGCTTTCTTCTTGTCTTCTGCATCTCCTTCTTTATCTTCTGCTTTTTTCTTCCTCTCCTGTCTGACTGGCGTGGTACTTCTGGGTGTACCAGCTTTGGACTCTGCTACATCAGGCCAAACGGCTTCCATGAATCTGATGGTGGAATACGATGATTTATTGATTTTGCTGGTGATTTAAAAATTTGTATGTTGGTGAAATAAATATAATTTTGTGTGTCGGTATGTATTATACATTTGTGATAAAATATAATTATTAAAAATAAAATATTATGTAGTATTTCATTTGATTGTACACTTCACTACCCATGCTCAAGATTTTTTACACATTTCACCACCTAAAGGTTGTTTGGAATAAATCGCCTTGTGTGATAAGACCGCTTATTTTCATCTAATAATAATCTTTATAGTCATCTAATATTCTTTATAGTATCTAACGTATTTATACATAGTGTATGTATGCAATAAAGTATAAACATAAAAATAAATAAATAAGTAAAGACTTAAAATCAGCGCCATCTATTGAGTGTGCATCAAAAAGATTACCAAGTAGCATTTATGAAAAGCGTTTCATTTGATTTTTTATTCGGAAAGGTACCAGGAGTTGAGGCCCTAATGTTCCAGCAAAATAGGTTTTAAAATACAACTAACCAAAACTGCCAAAGCTACTTCACTATTACAAAAATAATTTCCAGAGGTGAATTCATACATCGGGGAATTACTGAAAACAGTTTAAATAAAAAATCAACCATTTATTATGTAGGGTCATGAGTCCCGGCACTAAACACTTTATAGACAATTATGGATCTTGAGTTAAGCCAAACATACAGCTTAGTATTTTGGTCATGAAAACTAAACGTGTATACTCAATTTCAGTTCAATCGGTTGAAGATTTCTGCTTTTAAATTTTGTTATTAGTTTCCACTTCACACACGTACATACATTGCAATTAAAAAAAACAAATATCTATTTAATTTAAAACAAAACTAATAAATAGTATCAAAACACTCCAAAAGCATTAACTTCAATAGCTATACAACATTTTTATCTACATAATTATACATATATTTAACTACTTTACATAGAGCCATGCTTCGGCACGAATTGGTCGGCTCGACCGGAGTGATACGATGGCCTCACAGAAGACCGGCATGAAACAACCACAGCGTTGTGTTTCGCCGTGTGAGTGAGGTTACCGAAGGCCCAATCCTTCCCCGCCTCCCATCCATCCTCAATCCCTAAATCTCCAAATCCCTAAAAGGTCGGCAACGCACTCGTAACTCCTCCGTTGCGGGTGTCCATGGGCGGCGCTGATTGCTTACCATCAGGTAATGCGTCTACACGTTTGCCGACTTATTACATAAAAAAAAATAGAAAAATCTCACTTGATACTGGGGGATGGAGAAGGAGTTTAACAAAATCTTACGACATATCACCAAAGGGAAAGAAAATGTATAAAAAATACCTCAATAAATATTTTCGTGTTAAAACTTTTGCAGGGAAAGAAAGCTGTTTGTAAATGATAGCAAAACTCACTCAACTATCTACTCAATCCCGTCACCACCACAAAAGGACAGACACATACGATATCAAAGAATAAAAGAAACAAGATCCTCACCTACTGCTGACATACCTCTGATACTCTCTGTCCAAGTAAACTTCCTCACTCCTCTGAGGAGTGTTCGACCTCCTCTTGTCCTATAAAACAAATCAAATCATTTTCTTTCTTGAACAAATATACCAGTGGGTGATTCTCCAAAATCCCTTCACTTTAAGTTGCATGTTAGTAAATTAACGTCGTAAATATTTTTATTTCATCACTTGAGAGCAGTATTACGGTTTTATTTTTCTAAATAATAATGTATGTCTTACATATTTAATACAAATGCTACAATAAATACACCTTTTAATCACACTCGAAATTATAAATTAACTTAAAAATAAAGTCACCAAAGTATCAATTACTATAGGCGCGTTATATCGCTTTGTTACTGTGAAACGTCACAATCCTAGAAATGTTGCCAATGGGAAAAATAAGTTTCATTTTTGGACTTTTTGCTAAACTGTATGGGCATACAAATTGTAGGTATATCATCATAGTATAAAAAAAAGTCGCTTTCTGTGACCCTATTTCCCTGTGTATGCTTAAATCTTTAAAACTACGATTTTACTATTCAGTTGTAAGTGATTGAAACCGAAGATTTAAAATTAAAAACATAAAATTATTAAGTTCTCTAAGATGAATTAAAATAGAAATAATTTAGTTGACTACACACCTTAACAAGAGCAGTTTCATTCTGACTGTCATCTGCCTCCCAATCGCTCGCTGGGACTATAGGAGTGAGGGTGCTGGTTTCCGAAAGGCAGTTCGCGAAACGTGGATACCAGGTCCGCGCTTTGGGAAGCTCCGCTTCTGGTATTCTGTAATAATAGGAGTAAATTTAAGTATACAAGTTTGAAAAAAAATGTTTTTGTCCAATTGTGAAAACTTCTATTTATCGTGCCGCCTTTATCGTAAATTTGTTTGTAAGGGCATAACTCAGTAACATCTAGACCAATTTTGGCAAACATTTTTTTATTCTGTTTGTTATTGTCTATAAAAGGTACCTTCATATTTAAAAAAAAACAATAATGAAAAAATAGAGGATATAATCGAAAAATAGCAACACCTTTTTGATTTGGAATTTCACTAATAAAACAAATGACTGAAGTAGTTTTTTTATGTACATAGGTGGCATACGAGCAGACGGATTACCTGATGGTATACCCCGCCCATGGACACCCGCAACGGAGGAGTTACGGGTGCGTTGCCAACCTTTTAGGAATGGGGGGATGGGAAGGCTTGGACCTCCGGTAACCTAACTCACACGGCGAAACACAACGCTGTGGTTGTTTCACGCCCATTTTTCTGTGAGGCTGTGATATCACTCCGGTCGAGCCGACCCATTCATGCCGAAGCATGACTCTCCCACACTTAAACAGTTATTGTATATTATGTTTTTTTTTGTATTTTATTCGACCTATTTAATATGAAAAGACGTACCAAAATTGTTTACCTTTAGTTAACTATTAGGTGGTTACCGATAAACCATAGTAAAAATAAAACTCACTGATCACATCCATACACTCGGTCGACAAGATTCATCTTGCACATTTCCAGTTCGTTGTACACAATCCCTCGATCCTTCACACACGGACAGATTTTAGTCTTCTCCGAATACCAGACTTTGGGCATAGTGCGTGTGTATCTGGAAATCAAATGGAAAAACTTTGAAATATTGATTTCAATGGCATATACAGCAAACATGAAAATTTTGATTCCTATCGGCAGATTAGACACTATACAATAATAATAATATTTTAGGTTGAAACAAATTGTACAATGTTTCGTGCTAAACCAAGCACGAAGTCTTTATTTCATTGCTAGCCTAAAATAGGTTATAAAATATAGTCTTTTATCTGCTATTTTAAAGAGAGCCTATTTGCATCTTCACTTAGTTAAACTAAATTAAAAACTCACCTAAAACACTTAGTATTGTCGTGTCTGAACAACAACGGCTGACAGATCTTCAGCACAAAACTCCAAGTCTCCAGGGAATCAACTGTGAACCTGTTGAAGTTTCCCACTAATTCCTTCTCAACGGACCCTCGGTAGCTGTCGCCTTTGCTACTAGCATTGGACTTGTAGCCACTCTCCGTCGATTTATAACCACTTTCCGTTGATCTATATCCGTCTGAATAATCACTCCTGCTCGACTGAAGATTGACAAACATTCTCTCATCTAACTCAGGAGTTATAGAGATCCTGTCTGCTCGAGAGCTCTGACTCTCTTTCGAAGGAGAATCATACTCCACTAAACCTTTATCCTGACTATCTTCGTCACTCATATCTTCTTGTTTTATCTCGTTTATGACTGATTCTAAAAATGTGTCATCCGTTAAGGCATCGGATCCTTTACTCTGGTCAAAATCAAATATTTTCATGTCAATTGGAGAGTCAAACATATCATCCTTTTTACGTGTCTTTGTTGCAAACTTTTCTATGTCACAACTCTCGTCAAACATATCTAGTAATTCGTCATCGTTTGGATCGATTTCGAATTTAAATGAATCGATTACTGGTTGTAGTTTCTCGATTTTCTTTGCTGGAACCGTTTTAGGGCTATCTGTTGTGTCTTTTATAGCTTCCGTTGTTTCTTTAGGTTTTACTTCTTTTGGTATTGGTATGTTTTTGAGTTTGTCATCTGGTTTTGGGCTTAAATTTGACCTGTCTTCATTATCTAGTGACCAACTATCACATACAAGGTACTCGCTCAAATTAACATCGGTTTCTTTTGGATCTTTCTCATTAGGTTTCTCAGATTTCTTCTTAGACACTGGTGTCTGTTCCTTATCCTTTTTCTCATCTTTTCTATCTTCTTTCCTTTCATCTTTTTTATCATCTTTCCTTTCTTCTGTTCTTTCTCTTGATTTATCTCTATCTCTATCTCTATGTTTATCTTTGTCATCTCTTCTTTTGTCTCTGTCATCTTTCCTGTGACTTGAATGTCTTCTAGAATCTTTATCATACTTATCACTCCTTCTCCGACCTTTGTCTCTTTCTTTATCTAACTTTTTCCTTATATCTCTATCTCTATCTTCACTTATCTTTCTAACTTTTTCCATTTCGTCTTTCTTGCGTTGGAAAGGGTTGTCGTAATCTGGTAATATCTTTTGGTAATCGAATTTGAATTCTCTACCTTCAGCTTTGGCTTTTTTAGCTTCTCTGATGATTTCATCTAATTTAGATGGGTCTGTGAATTTTGAAAAAACGTTAGATTTTTTGAAAATCCCATCATTTTCTTCTAAACTACGTATACATACTACAAAATAGGGATGATGCAGTTTTTTTAACATTTTCCATCTTATAGAATTATTTAAATAGACACGTATTTTTTTTTCATGGTTATTAATACGACTAAATAAAAAAATACGTGTTTAACATAATACACCATCAAACTGACGGACAAAATAGATTTTTAATTATCATACACTGTCAACATCCCTATTAATTATACTACACTAAACAAATAAAAGAAAAATGTGAGGAAGCAAGAATGAGCAAAGCATACATTGATTGCGCTATGGAAGAGGTTTCTGTGCGGCGGTAGACCTCTAAAAGCTGGTGATGATGATGATGATGATGATGATGATCAGAATTAAGTTAGAAGTATTAGATCAAACTATTTTGAAGACTTTGATCTTGATTTTTACTTTCCGATAAGTCTTAGAAAAAGTTTGACCCAACACTCTACCCAATTCACAATGTTAAAAGTAACCAGGATTTTCTCTAAACTTAATCATAATGATAAAAAGGTCTCCAGATTTAATTCTGTTATTGTTTGCTATTAACCGACATAAAATCTATATATATAAATCTCAAAGGTGACTGATATAGTGATCTATCAACGCACAGCCCAAGCCAGACGGACAGAGTGGACGGATCGGACTAAAATTTGGCATGCAGGTAGATGTTATAACGTAGGCACTACACGTCCGTCCGTCTGTGCGTTATTAGTCATGTGATTTTTATAAACTTTAACGACAATATATCAGCCAACACGACAAAATGAAAACAGAAAAGTGGTTAGCACTTTTCTATGAGGTAAATCGGTTACTTAAATACTAATATCATACTAGACTAATTGATCTTAATCCTGGATACTTTCAAACATAATTAATAATAACATTATAATACAAACAGTTAAATAAGCAGTGCTCAGTAAGCTGGTTATCGTTGCCTAGCAACCGGCGCGTCGATGTCTGGGGACCTGCGCGTGCGCCGCTACTTCGTGCGAGCGCTACATGCAGGCAAGCGGGGGAAGCTGGGGTTTAAAGTTAGTGGAAAGACAGACAAATAAAATTTAAATATCGATGGTAATAGGCGAATAATGTAGCTAAAATATTTTTTTGGAAAATTTGATGTGAATTTAAATGTTTACGATTTTAGACGATCCAATGTTTTTTTAAAGTTTTTTTTTTGTTTTGTTATAAGTTAAGTTGAAAAATCTTGACCACATTAATGGTGGTTTACTTGTATGATTACAATAAATAATAAGGGCAAAATTTGTTCAATATTTTCTTAAGACAATGAACTTCATAGATGGGATAGGCAGAGATATACATAATGCCACATGTAAAATGTACAATGTCCAACGACATTATGTTATGAGTTCCATGTAACAGAATAGGGGTAGAGGGGAGGAAAACGGTGGCTTAAAAAATATTAGGGCATTAAAAATACCCTGATATTACTTAGCCCAACCCAAGAATCGAACCATGGACCTCTTGCTCTGCATTCGCACTTGCGAACACTCGAACAATATGGTAGTTGGGCCTTAAATTATAATAAAATAAAAAAAAAACAATGATCGTACATTAAATAAGCATAAACCGGTAATGGAGAATCATGTGCGGGAGTTGACCCTGCGACAAATTGTCCAGCAGGCTTTATCATCGTTAATTTTCATAAAACATCAAAGACAGTGCAAAAGAAAAAGCAGCATAAGTAAGTGCGATAATGTGCTCGCTTGGATAGCGCCACTGAACTATAAGATCATGAAAGTGTTTTAAAGTATGAAGAACAAGTAACTATCAATAAATTCCTTTAATAGATATTAGGCTATCTTAGGCTTAGGCGCCAAGCCAAAAACCACCATTATACATCTAAGAATAAGTCATAAAATTCTTGATTTTGTAAGCATGCCTTATAATATAACCACTATGAAATCCAGTAGTTTCCAATTGGTCAATTTTAATAATTTCATTGTAATGCAAAAGTCATACTTGTCCATGAATTTTGTATGAAAGCACAAAATTTGACTCCACAACCTTTCTCAAAGTATTCTTAATTCTCAATTATTTACCAGAAAATTAAGTACATCGTCAATTTAATTAAAATCACACTTTCAGTATCAAAATATAGTCATACTTTTAGTGTGAGAATATAATTACTTTTAATAATTCAAAAGTCAGAGTAATTTATTTTTGACCCAGGAAACTACCCAATCGCGTGCATTAAATAGTGTTACAGACATAAGCAGAAGTGGGAAAATAATTGCAAGCTTATAGCAACACCTATAAGTGCCATTTTGCCTTAAAAACTAAATGTTTTGAAGTGTAATTAAAAACAGAAGACTAATTCTGGAAAATGAGTTCGCACACGCACATCACACACAAGCAAAGAAGGCTGGTATAGATCCAACTGAGCTAGCTTTACAGTCAGCCAAATCGTTATCAAGATATTATAATCAACGAAAAGTATCAAAACTGTTAATTATATGGGAATACACTAAGAAATAAATCATAAAAAAACTCCTAAAGACAAAAAATGAACTTTAAACACTCAACTCAGGGTACATTTTTAAAGAAACTCACCTAAAAATGTCTTAATAGGCGGCATAGCTTTGGTAGGCATGGCCTTGTCATTGGTAGCGCTCGGACAGATCAAACCCAGAGGTATACCAAGGTCAACAAGTTCCATTTTACGCTTCATATCTTCAATTTCATGTAATGTCCGCTTTTGGAGTTCCGTGTATGAATCTGTAAAATATATAAAATTAAAATTATTTCATGAAGTTGATAGTTTTGATATGAAGAAAATGAAGTCAGATATAATAGCGATCGCGAAAACACTCAACCCAGCACAAGATGTGGTGTAGTAATGTTTCAGATTCTAGCTTTCTTTACACAAATCTTAGGCCTCATTTACATTGCTGCAGCAGACCAATAACAAACGTATAAGCTACTAGCGAACCGACCCAGCATCGCCGCAAAATGCAAAAAAAATATCAATGCTGATACAACATTATTTTTAAACTATTTAATGAAGCCTTTGTTTAAGTATTGGTTTTATACAAATTCCTTACCCATATAGACTTTCTGTCTACATGGATTTGTGGTGAACATAACTCGCGTCCCCGAGAGACTGGCAACTAGTAGAGCTTTCCTTCATTACTTCACATGAGCTAACCAAATATTTCAATTAATTTTCTATGTCAGTTATTGCACAAGAATACAACTTTCTAGAGGAAATAAATGTCTTTGTCGGAAAACATAACATACCTTGCATAACTTTCCTTGCCTGTCCAGGTTTTGGAGGCTTTGGGGGCTTCTTCTGTTCTGCATCATCAGATTTTTCTACCTTTGGAGTAGTCTTCACATGATTTAGTTTACCAATGAACACTGTTGTACCTGGAATCAAATATCATAGGAATATTAATCTACAAATACATTGATTACACTTTTGATAATTATCACTTTCACACATAACATCACATTATAAAATTAATTTAAAAAAAAATAAAAATCCAATATTATCTTATCATGTGGGTCAATAAGTAAGGTAATATAGGATATAGCTTAGCACTTAAGGTAACGCAAACTTAACATAAATACAAAATTTCAGCTCAATTAGTTAAAGATATCCCCTTCAAATATGATTTGCAAGATTCCACTTCACAAACCAACATACAAACATGAACGAAACACTAACATCTATGTAAATAAAAAAGGCAAAAGTTGAATATTTTATTCCAATAAGACCTAAAGAAACTTCTCATCATAGTATGGATGAAATTAACAATAGTATCTATGACACTTACTTCCTCCACTAATAGCTTTAGGTACAGGAACAGGGGCTATCGGACTCTTCTTCTGAATGGAGAATGCTCTCAATCTCTTCTTGGCATTCTCTACACCTTTCTGTGACGGGACTAGCTTGAAACCAATAGTACTTGCAACAGGTTTCGGAGTTGAGGTTGTTGGTGTTCCAACACCAGGCTAGAAACACATAAATATTGTTTTAAGTTTTATTTATCACAATTTAGTGAGAAATCTACATAAATGTTATTATTTTTTTGTCTCATCAACCTTTAAATTATATGATAACAAACCATAATGTGTTAATTTGTCATCATTATTCTATAGCGTTGTCATCTATCTCCTTTCTCATTTTATTTATTGACCATGTTGAGTCATGAATAGTGGTCTGAAGTAAGGGTACAGGGCAGTTTTTGATTAATTTCTGCATGCAACCATTGATTACAGCATGTTTAATTGTTAAAGTTTTTTACCACAACTAGCAATAGCACTACTTATGCATTTTGTTTTTTTTTTCTTAAAATCACTCTGATATTGGCTAAGTGCATGTTTAGGATAGAAATGACTACCAAAACAGACTACCTTATAATAAAAAACACTAATATACATACTGAATAGAAACTTTTTAAACTTTCACAGTATTACCAGGCCGAACAGGAAGAGTTAATGTGCAAAATTCTTTTTGTAGTGACCAAATTCTTAGAAAACACTAAATACAATTTTGGTCAATGAAATAAAAACTGGCGCCACTATAAAAATGTAGACTTACGTATAGAAGTCTATTTATAAACACTAGATCAATACTAGCATCAAATTAAACATAACAATGCGCATATAACTTCGTTTGTCTATAATTGCAGACCCGGTATATGCAATGAAGGCAAATACCTATAGGCTTTTCTTGAGCTTACCTTGTTGAAGTCGGCCTTGGTGATTCCTGGCGGCACCGGCTCATCGGAGTCCTGAGACTCCGATCCAGCCTTTAAAATCCCTTCGCAATCCATCTTCAGGCTAAATCACACAGCTATTAAATATAAAATATTGTGCAAAACTTAATTTTGTTCATCGCTAACACGCTTGTTACTGCAAACATTCGTTGTTAACTGCACTCTTAATATACTAAGCAGTACAATCTAATAAAACTATTTTAACCTCTAATTAATTTATCAAACATACATCTAACAACACAACTTATTGTTTATGCATTTTACACTAATTTTCTTATCAAAAGTGGGATGGAAGTCAAGTTTACTAAAAACATGACCAACATTGACAGACATTGAGAGAGGATGTGTAAATTAAAAAGAGACAATCATAAAATTATGCTACAAATTAGACATAAATAGCACTGGAACGTTTTTGTAGTAGACAATCAAACTTTTTTTGACTAGCAATTTTAAGCCAACCTTGACGCCAAGCAATTTTATCATTTTGTAAACTATCTAACAAGACGTTTTTTTATTATAGTTTAATAAATCTTGGCAAGAAAGAGGAAACGTTTCAGTCAGTCACTATGGAAAATTTCATGATTGAACTGCATATACAAATGATAAAACTTAGTGACCACTACCCAAATGAGGGTCACCAGGTGGCAATGCATCCACAAAAAGTATCTGTTTGGTGCAGAATATGGTCTGGTGGCGGCGTTATTGGTCAGTACTGCGTGGGATAGCTATGCTCCTGGATAGCTATGGTCGGCTCGACCGGAGTGATACCTACCACGACCACGGCCTCACAGAAAACCGAGGAGAAACAAAATCACCGTTGTGTTTAGCCGTGTGAGCCGGGGGCCCAATCCTTCCCTTCCACCAATCCCAAATCTAGCTTATCCCCAAAAATTCAGCTATTCAACGACGTACAGCTTATTCAACGTCGTTGCCGAAGATACGAGTGGTATCTTTGACAAGGCCATTACCTTCAACGGCGAGCGCTATGGATCAATGATAAACCATTTTTCTGATGGGCGTGTACGACATGTTGTTCCAGCGACTTGCCACACAGCGAACAACACAATCGACATTCTGCATGAACGTTTTGAGGGTAGGGTTCTTGTGGAGGTGACGTGAATTGGCCACCAAGATAGTGTTATTAAACTCCGCTAGGCTATGCCAATCACCCGCATTCCTAAATTGCCCTACTCCAGATTTAAGCAGCGGCGTCATAAAAAATTAGACGTCTCGGATTATCATCATACGCAGATTTTTTTTTTTTGTGTGGGGAGAATCATCTAATGACTTCTCCCGTCCAGAGCCGGGCAGGAGGGAGTGTCAGACTCTTACTGACTAAAAACCCCCCTGTTCCTTCTCCTGCTTTGTGCCGAGGTCGCGGTACCTCATTGCGCTTACCCCGCAACCCCGGCTGAACATCAGCCCTTTAGGGCCCCGTCTGTGGTGGTCGAATGGCTCTTTGAGGCGCGCGCGGAACGCTACGCGCCGTACGCTCGGGCCTGGTTCTGGTCGGGCGGCGAGCTGCCCTTACTCGCCGACCACAGGCCCGTGCTTACGGTGGCCGGAGATCGTCCATCGATACCCGACGCCCGTAGTGTCGCCAGTTGCGGTTGCTGGGGCGTGAGGAGGAGGATTGCTCCCGCACGCGGGCCGCCTCTCTCTTTGCGAGCATGACTGCTTCACAAAAGGAGGAGACGGCGTCCCAGTTCCTCTCACTCCGCACCATGGCCTCGACTAAGGCCGGGCGCGAGAGGTCGCCGCCGCCGATCACTTCCCTGAGGATACGGCGGTGCTCAGCCCAGGCAGGGCATACCGCTACCGTATGCTCCACCGTATCCTCTAGGTGGTCCTCACAATGACGACACGCGTTTCCTCCCGCTGGATCCAAACAGGAACCTACCGAAGCTGCCGTGCCCGGTAAGCACCTGCGTCAGGCGGAAGGTGAGGACGCGTCTCTCAAGCCACTCCTCAAAGAGGGGTCTTACCGCTGCTATCGTAGCGCGCCCGATCATACGCAGATGCGGCGGAAATTTGGTTGATATCATTATAACATTCCATCTATAGTGCCATAAATAGGTATTCGAATAACTAACATCGACCCGTCCTTGTTAAAAGACCCTTTTTAAATACATGCAGCCAATTAATTAGCTGCAGTCGCGGGTGCAAGCGGCCTGGAGCAGAAGAAGGAACGGGGTGGTTTTTGGTCGGTAACTCACAGTAATTCCATAACTCGCTCTCACCCCACCCTGAACGAGGCAACTCACTGGGTGAATATTAAAAAACAACCAACTATGTTGGTTTTGAGTTTGGGAAAAAGGATTAGTTGGGCATATGCCTAAAACAGGTAGAATTATTATTGTAATACGGTAGTTTGCAACTAGTCAAATTCAATGCTTTTATTCAAATGTCAAAAACGATACATTTCTATGACCTGAGTTATGAAGTCATAGTACCTATTTTTGCGTCAAATAGCTTAGGTACCTACTTATTTCTAAGTAAATAGCTACACAATATCTAAAACTTACTGTATCGATCGATCGATGAATAAAAGTTTAGTTATTTTTCAATATTTTATTGTATTGAAACGTCGAATTAATTTATTTTTAATCTAGGTAACTACCCAATTGTATTGTAATAGATATGTTTTATGCTTAATTTTCTGTTCTGTGGTTTTATGTCCTTCAATTTTCTACTATTTTTTTTCAAAGTATTGCAAGTTGCAAGCTGTAAGTTTAAGTACCTAAGCCAGAGAGATAAGGTAAAAGAAAACAAACCCATTCGATCAAATATCCTCTTGTTATAGATTTTAACGTTAATACAAATAGTTACTTGATTATATCAATACAAAGAAATAAAAGTAGGAAGGTACTAAATTACTTTTTATCCTTATCCTAGAAACACATTATCCTGGTTTTACTCGCTAAGGTCCAGTATACTTGACCCCTATAAGAAACTCCGACAGCTCATCATTCAACTTGATACTATTATCGATTTGCGAGTCTGTTTCTGTAGCTGAAAAAGTAAAAAAAAATAGTTAATAAAGGTTATCTTAATCAGAAAATACTGGTGTTAATTATCTCCGAAGCGGCGATCAGACGGGACTTAAGAACTCAGGGCGGTCGGGCAGTCTCGGTAGCCGGATTTAGGGACACTGATAGCCTAACAGCAATTATACCCCCAATCCATCGGAACTCAGGGACTTAGAGCATGACGATTCGTGCCGTCTGATTAATTTGTTATTGGCAATTTGAAACTAATAATATTATTAGTTCCCTTTGAAACATGACGGTTTCCTTCACTGTCAGTGATGGCTTAACTTGAATAAAGTATAAATCTAACTAAACAGAAGAATCTAATTCGTATGAGTTAGAGAATTTAAAATTGAAAAACGATAGAACTGATTTGGCTGAAAATTAGTAGCTTAGTTCCAAGAGATAGGATATTTTTTGTCTCATTTTGAACCCCTCTTTAATAAAATGGGGATGGAGGTGTATGTGTTGGAATGTGATAATTTGGCAAACAAGCAAACGGATTGCCTGATGATGAGCAATCAGCGCTACCCAGGACTTTTGGGAGATTAGGGTTCGGACAAAGAGTCCGATTTACGAAATCGGACTCTTTGCTACCTGCTTTAGTTTTTTGATATCTTGTTAAATAGTCTTAGATACAAACCTAAAGGCGTAAGAGTATTTGTAATTTCCTCCTTCACATCCAAGTTCTGATTGACTCTAATATCATTGACATCAGCAAAGAAGACTTCTGGTACAGCAGTAACACTAGCCATTTCTTCTGCACCAACACAAATCTCAACCAATTCCTTAAACTCTTTATCTCTTCTCTTCTTCTGTGGCAATTTTCTCTTTAGTGCTTTCTGCTTGCCTTTTGTAGAATCTTCTGTGGAACTTTGTTTGATGTTTAATACTCTAGTAACTTCGTTTCGGATTTTTGATTTTTCTTCTTCTGTCAGCTCAATTCCGCTGTCATAATTTTTTACATACTTAGTTATGGGTACGTCATCATCACTACTGCAATCTGAGTCAGTTTTTATACCGGATTTTATGTTTTCTTTTTTTAAGAACTGCCGCCATTTTTTTATTAGATCATCGGCTACTGCCTGGAAATTGTAATATGATTATATTCAATAATTATTTATTATATGATCTCTTCAGAACAAACCAATTAAACTTAAGACGAGGAATGCAAAATTGCTACTTATGCCAAAGGCATTATGACTTTGGCTAGTTCCAAGCTGTTTTAATTCATATTTCTGTCTGTCATGTGTATTTGTATCTTGAAACATAAACACATAAAAATAAAGAATGCAACTAAGCAAAAAGACACACATAATTATTATGTTATATTTATTGTATATCTGAATCAACAAGAATTAATATTCTATATAACTTTATACATATGAGAAAAATATATATTTGTTTATGTGTGTTTTGACACTTTACTACATTAACTAAAAATCGCGGGTTACTCACGTGTAAGTATTGAGAAAAGCTCTCATAAGGAGCTTTTCTCAATACTTACACGTGAGTAACCCGCGATTTTTAGTTAATTTAGTATGTCTCACGATAGTTATTATAAAAACTTTACTACATAGTAAAAAACAAAGTCTCTTTCTCTGTTTCTATATCCTAAAATGTATGCTAAAATCTTTAAAATTATGCAACAGATTTCGATGCGGTTATTTTAATAGATAGAGTGATTGAAGAGTTTATTTGTGTATAATAACATCCATTAAATAGTGGAGAAATTTAGTGTCAGCATTGCACCAGTGCAGTGTAGGGACAGGTTGTTAGTACAGGGTGCTAGCTTGTAATAAAAACCTTCATAATTAATTTACTTACAAAATTAACAGGCTTGGGTATCCGCAGCAAGTAATGCTGATCATGTGCTTCAAGCATCTCGCACTTGGAACAGAGGTCATAGTCAGGGCAGGTGATGCATTTGTATCGGAAACCATGGATGGCTTTTGTGCAGCTGTTACATACTATGTTGTTATGCTCTGTCTGGGATTCTGCCTCAATTGAACCTGCAATTATTTGAATAATTTCTTTCAAGAAATTTTGCATTGAAAGATAAGTAATGTTTTTTTTGTATTTGTTGTGCCTATTATAAGGGCATTTAAGCTGAGATTTGAATTGCAATAGGTTTTTTGGATGGATGAACAGGATAAAACTAGCTTTTAACTATTCTCAGTAGCTAGTAACACGCTGTTACGTTTGTGTTGATAAATACATTAAGAAAAATAATTTTTGAACGAACCTTCATTTTTGCAATTAGACAGGCATAGTGTAGGTACAGCATCAGC